TACTTTCACTATATTTTGATGAGAATACTTTTCCACTTTTACTTGAGGAACATTTTGAATGCAGGACTTTTACTTGTAACAGAGTATTCCTACACTCTGGTACTTCTACTTTTACTCAAGTACAAGATCTGAGTACTTCTCCCACCTCTGGATCTAGATGATAGGAAATGAGCATCAAATAAGCCATAACTTGCCAAAGTGCTAATATTGTTTGAACTTTGAACAATATGTTAAACCAAAAATGAACTATTTTAAGCTTGATACTGTAAACTGATCAAATAAAGTGTCAGTGTTTACTGAGTTGGGTGGTGTTTCCGACATGTTTGAATGGTGAACTGTACCGTTATAGATGTGTAGGCCTAACAAGTAATGCATATATTGTATGAAGTATTATTTACCCAAATAGTTTCATATAATCATACAAACTGGAATTGGTTGATTAATTTATTTTAAAAATGTAGTTTAAAGAAATGTTAACCATGGTCTATTTGTCCGTAACCCCATTATGTTTTTCACTGAGGTTAATGATAAGTGGTTAGTAAAAGAGATGGGATCAGATGTTTTGATTATCTTTTACAGATTGTATTTCAAAGAAAGCTCCTATTAAACGAGCTGATACATTAATGCATGAAAACTAACAATCAGATCATATGTTATATCTGAAATGGTTAGTTTTGAAAAATTACTACATTTACTTTGATACTTTAAAACATTTGATGGAAATACATTTTTATCATTTGAATTGAGGAACATGTTGGATGTAGGACTTTTACTTGTGACAAAGTCAACTATCAACTACCAAAATAAAGATAAAAAAGCACAACAAAACATGTTGGAAGCATTAGGAAATGTACAACCCAGTTTTTACATTTAGATAAGATGTCAGTTACCAACTGATGATGTCCTGCGTGATACTGTTAGTCATCGGGTATACAATGCTGCATCAGTACATACTGTATTGTGATGAACATGAAAGACTTTGTGCTAAAGCCTCATACTTAGTGAAAAAGTCTACATAGAAAAGCTATGACATCAAAGATAGGGACTATATGACTACTGATGGTTATTGAAGCAGCACTTATCTATCATACAAGCAATCTCACCACAACAATTAATAAGAACAAAGCTTGACTTAATAGGAATATTTTACAGAATGCCTTTTATTAGACACTTAAAGAGGAAGGGTTCCCTTCCCTACAATAGGTTAGTTGATTCAATTAAAATGACGCATTAAGAACCGGTTATCCTATTATCAAATATGGGGCTGTGTGTGTGTTGTGTAAGTGTGATGTTAACATAATCAGAGCTGCTATTATTGGACCTATAATTCAGGTTTCAAAACTCCTCACATTAGCAAATGATGTTAGGGGTTCCTATGTTTGACTTCAGTGAGTCCTCCGAGCCCTGAAGCTGCAGGAGACCAGCTTCAACACATTCATACACTCCTTGCATACATTATACAGTATGCAAGAGTCAGTGGGATAAAGTAACTAAGTACATTTACTCAAGTAGTGTACTCAAGTGTTAAATCAGACTTTAGTTCCACCTGGAGTAAATCCACCAGCTACCCTGCAGTATACAAAGTCATTCAAACTCGCTGCACCTTTACCAGCTTTGAGAACACTTTCATGATCAATCATTATAAAACATATCATATATATTATTCTGAAATGGACCAATCTGCACAATGACTACTTTTACTTTTGATACTTTAACTATATTTTGATGCCAATACTTTGGTACTTTTAATTGAGTAACATTTTGGATGCAGGACTTTTACTTGTAAGAGTTTGCCTACACTATTCTACTTTTAAGTGCAAGACATGTGTAATTTCCACCTCTGGTAAGAGTGCATTCACCCCCAATATCTGTACTTATCAAGCTGCTCTTTGTCTCCTCATCTCCTTTGTGTTGTTGCACAATTGGAATGAATATGACAATGGAACAGTAGATTGTGATTGTGTTTGTTGGGGACACTGTGGAGATAATCAGGATGTAAACACAGATGATTAGTGAGTGAGACAGCGTATCATCTTTATTTGTTTATTCAGCAGTTTTAGTCTTTGACTTTTCTTTTATCTGCTGCTTGCATAACTCCTGCCAGACTTCTCTATAAAAGGGAGTGGAATAGAGTAGACGGCTTGACTTCACAAGTAGTAACTTCTATAGTTCACGGTCAGGTTCAGACAACGCTCTTCTTTACACTAACTTTCCATCTCAGAAATATCCCTCGTTCTTGGAGAGTAACAGATTACATGTAACGGGATAAGGTCATTAGAAACTATATTTACTTAAAATTCAAGACAAAAAAGACATACTGTTATCAGGTTACTATAACATTTATAATAATTGGTGATGTTAAGATTAAAAAATAAAGACGAAATTAGTTCAAAAAAGCTTTCACTGGTTTAACTTGCTTTATGGTTTTCACTTTCTTTGCTTCATTTGTTCTGTTTTTAATTCAGCAGGTGAACTTATATGTTCATAAAATAGTATGTGTGAGCTTAACTGTGTGTATTAAACTAAAACGGAGCATTTCCTGTCAGCTCAGATTGTATTTCTGCTTTTTTAAACTGTAGTATGTGCTCATGCAGGACCGCCGTTTGCCGACAGGCAAGGCAGGCAACGACAACCTGAAACCCCTTTTAATTTACTGCAATGACATGTCGGGAAACCCTCTAGTGGGCCCCATGTATAGAGCGCCGTCAAAAGCTGTTTCCTGACCTATCCTATCAGAGGTCAATAGGTCCGGAACCCGCTACGGGGGGGGGGGGGGGGGGGGGGGGGGGGGGGGGTGGTGCTGTCAGTAGTGCTTGATGTGTTGGGTGGCATGTCTCTTCTGCCTGGGGCCCCCAGAGTGTCTTGGGGCGCCACTGTGCTCATGTGTTTCAGTGTTGGTGTATTGGCTACGGTCTGAATATGCTTCATGAAAGGCAGCTTTTCCTGTCGATAAAATCATTTTGATCCTTCATATCTTGCTTTCTTTTTCCTGCTCACCTACAAAGCCTTAACCAAGCTGGCCCCTCCCTATCACTCTGACCCCTTCCACCGTCAAATCATCAGATTGATTGATTTTGTCATAAAATATTCAAAATACTCTACAGCCCATGTGTTTGCGTTGTAAAAGTACCACACTCCTTCCAGTCCTCAGATTTATTGTCTGAATTCTCAGAGCTTTTATCATGTTTGATAAAGATAAAGTAATCATATAGGTTACCTCCCTGTCCACATAGACTTTGATAAAGACGGTTCTATTGCCTCTACTGTATCTATTTTTATATTTGAGTGGACCGGCGGTGGTGGTTGATGTTTCAGTTTTTCATCTGACATATTGGCCCAGAATATTTGTGTTGTACCATTGTTGTGCTGCTTACCTGTTGTGGTGCAACCCAGTCTCACGGCATTTCGTGTTATAGTCACGACATTTAATCTATTGATTCGTGTTCACCAACACGATTTTCCCCTTTTTTTTCGTGTCACACAGAACGATTTTAAAAGCAATGTATTTCTATTGGTAGTATGTTTCGTGCCTGTAGCACGTATTTTTGTCCGTTCGGGTAGTGGAAGACCGGAAGCTGTGGGGTTCATAAAAACATGTTCTTACTCAATATCAAGCCACGATTATTGTTTTTATTTTAAATCGTATAATGTCGGACTTTTCTTGTCGTCTGTGAGGAAAATAAATGGCTCAGAGCCTCAGAATACTGAAATCTGTATTTTTTTAAATATTTTTTTCCTTCTAATTTGTTATTCTTTTCTAAATAACTCACTGTTATTTATTCACCAATAACACACAATTATCCTTGTTTTTATTTATTTGTTTAATTCCATAATCTCGGGCTTTTTTGGCGTCCGTCAGGAACTGAATTTCAAAATAAAAATAACCGGAAACAGACGTAGGGACATTTCGAGCATCATTGCGATACACAGCCGCTGAACTGATTACCCAAGATCCTCAGCTATGGTTTAAGCTCGCTGATTGGATGTTTTAGCCGCAATGCATGTAGGGATATGGTGCTAATGCGATATCAAATCCGAAAAACATTTCTGAGTTTAGGATGGCTGAAGACACTACACTACCCATAATCCCCAGCTATCGTTTAGGACTACTGTCCCCGTGATTAATCTTCAAGCTCTGGGATTGGATGTTGGAGTGGCAGTGCGCCAAGGTTACGCCGAGCGTCAAACAGCTGTTTGAAATAGAACGAAACCACGCCAGACTATCCAAAACTGGAATCGAACGCCCCCCCAGAACTACACATGCTGGTTATTGTGTTTCGCAAAATGTTCTATGGGACGTCTTTACTGAACGTTTTCGTTTTCCCCACAATTAGAAGTTGCCAGTATTAAACACATTGGTGTTATCAAATGTAAAACATATAATTAATAAATGGGTGAAAATCGCTTGTGTCCATAATGCGCAGCATTAATAAACACCCACATGACAGCTCATTGTTACTTTGTAATTCTACTCCACTACAATTCAGAGGTTAACCTGGTATTTTTACTCCACTACATTTATTGTAGTTACTTTGCAGATTCTGATTAATGATGTGAAATATAAACAACCCTTAAATCAAACTTTAGTTACACCTGAGTAAAATTCAGGGAAGGTGATTGTCAAGTGCCAACAATCAGGAGAGATATTTGATAGTTGGTGCTTGAGAAGACTAAACGTTTATCTGCAATTGACATGAATGGAAACGAGTAATAAAGTATATTCATTACTTTATATACACCCGGTGCAGCTAAACCCCGACACCAATTGTTCAAAAATAATATTGCACTATACGTATAACTTAAATAAACTGACACACCAACAACACCCATAAAATGGCTCCTACACACCGGCCCCTAATTGGCTTTAGTATGAAAACAAAACAATTACAAATAAAGAATAAAGGAGCTATGTAAAATACAAATGGTGTGTTCTATGTGTTGGTATTTAATTATTAATAATGTTTTTCAGTTTCCTTTCTTCTCCCTTATTTTAAGGGTCATCAGTCTTTGCTGTCCTTTATTTTGAGTCCTTCGGCCTTGTAGAGCACGTTGGTCCACTTGATCTTGTTCTCCATTTCTTTGTCCTTTTCCTCCACCGTCTCCACCTTGTTGAAGATGAGGGCCGTTACATCTCTTTTGTTAGCAGCGGGGGCGGGCTCAGGTTCTTTCTTGATCTCCACTGGCGCTTCTTGGCTATTCTCTTCAGCTAGTTTCTTCTTCAGGATAAACTCTTTCCTCCTCCTCTTGCGCTCCCGTTCTATCTTTCGTTTTGCCAGCACGGCCTCAGAGAGTGCGTTCTTCGGAGTTCCCTGTCCTCTGGACTCCTCGATTTTTTCATGAAGTCTCTTGCGTTTCAGGCTTTGGATACGCTGTTCAGCGATGCATCGGTTATTTGGCATGCTGAGATTTTCTTGTCTAAATGGTAAGTCTAGGCCTCCTCGATCTCACTGCAGCTTTCGACACCGTCGATCACGGCATCCTCCTCCATCGTCTGCACTCCACCATCGGACTCTCTGACTCTCCCCTTGACTGGTTCAGATCATACCTCACCGGGAGAACAGAGTACGTCTCCTTGGGCGAGGCAGAGTCGGGTACCCACAACGTCACCTGTGGTGTCCCTCAAGGATCAGTTCTCGGCCCCACCCTCTTCACACTCTACATGCTTGGCTCTATCATCAGCCGACATGGAGTATCATTTCATTGCTACGCTGATGACACCCAACTGTACCTCAGGATCAACCCTACCTCCTCTGCAGCCCTGCCTTCACCCACACTCACTGCCTGCCTGGAGGAGATACAGGCGTGGATGAAGCAAAACTTCCTGAAACTCAACAGCTCCAAGACCGAAGCCATTATAGTTGGCACCCCACACCAGGTTCGGTCATCCACCATCACCACCATCACCTTCTCCGGCTAGGACATTACCCTCTCCTCAATAGTCACCAACCTGGGTGTTAAAATGGACGCCCATCTGACCTTTGAGGCCCACATTAAACAGCTGTGCAAGAACTCCTTTTATCACCTCAGGAACATCGCCAAACTCCGCCCCACACTCACTCTGTCTGACGCCGAAAAGCTGGTCCACGCCTTTGTCTCCTCCAGGCTGGACTACTGCAATGCACTCCTCATCGGGATCCCCAACAAAAGCATCCAGAAGCTCCAATACATTCAGAACAGCGCTGCTAGGATCCTGATGAGGGTGCGCAAATATGATCACATCACCCCCCATCCTTAAAGCACTACACTGGCTACCCGTGGAACTGAGGATCGAATTCAAGTTCTCCGTCCTCACCCACCAGTGTGTCCATGGAACTACCCCTCCCTACCTCAAGGAACTCCTCACCCCCCATACCTCCTTGCGGACCACCCGCTCCAGCAACTCCAACTTCCTCAAACCCCCCAGGACTAAGCTCCGTACTATGGGAGACCGGGCCTTCTGCTCGGCTGCTCCCAGTCTGTGGAACGCTCTCTCCGACCAAATGAGAGCACCACAGACCGTGGAGGCTTTTAAAAAAGGCCTCAAAACCCATCTCTTCAAAAGAGCCTTTGCCTAGACCTTTTTATCACCCTTTTATTTATTTTTTATTGCTTTTTATTAATTCTACCGTGTTGTGTAATGTTTATTGATACTGTTCATGCTCACTACTTGTAGCACTTCGGGATTTGAAATCAAATATGAAGTGCTTTATAAATGGAACCCATTATTAGGCAGTAGTGTCCATCTGACATTGTTGCAGAGTGATTCATAATGTTCAGGAATTGTTTGTCTTCTCTGGACATTTCCTCTGTTTCCTTGCTTGTATTTTCATTGAAATCATGATTGTATTGTTTGACCAATGGCTCCTCTAGGTGTACAATGGATGTCCGATTGACAGCAGCAGCAGGGTGGCCATTAGCATCTCTGCTGTCCTTGCTTCCTTTTAGGGGACCATAGAAGACCCACCCCAGTAGGGTCTTTGCAGCGTACGGTCCTTCTCCTTGGCTATTGATCAGCTCCCAAGGTTCCAATACCTTAGGAGAATTTGTCCCAATGAGTAGGTCAATGCCAGAAGCAATTTCATTCATTTTGATGACCTTTAAGTAAGGCAATTTTTCCAGATCTTCTTGTAGAGGAATATTGTGCTTGGAAACAGGCATGGTTTTATGTATGAAGACATCGGTTTGTTGAATGAAATTGTCTTCGTCCAGACTCGATATTTCCAAACCTGAGATATGATGACTAGACACAATTTTTTTCTGATTCATTGTCTTTAGGAGAATGTTAGTCCTTTGTCCTGTAAGGTTTAGCCTCCTCATTAAACTTTCTGTGGAAAAGGTAGATGAACTTCCATGGTCCAGAAATGCACAAGTTTGTAACACTTTTTCCCCTTTGTGGCTCTTTACTTGTACTGGTACAATGGAGAAGATGGAGTTATCACCGGCCCCAATGTGCCCACATGTATGAGGTGAGATGACACTATTACTTTCCATTGGCTTCCCATTCTGTTTTGTGTGTTCCGCTTCCTCTCTTTTGCCTTTTTGTTCAATGTGGAGTATTTCAGGATGACTTTGATTGCACACATAACATGTCAAACGACTGTGGCAGTGTTTGCTCATGTGTCCTATTTTTAGGCATCCAAAACACACCCCTTTTCCTTTCAAGAAGTCCATTCTTTCTCTGTGTGTTTTCTTCAGGATGTGTGGACACTGCTCCAATGAGTGATCACTTCTTCTGCAGAACAAACACAAATGTAGGGAGTTGGTGGTTGATGGAGGTATTTTCATTCCATTCGTTGTTACATGTTCTAGCACTGGTGTTCTTGGGCAGGTAATAATTGTTGCAAAACGACTTCCTCTTAGGCTTGGTTTTCCCTTTGAAAAGGTAGAGATAACAGTTTTGATAGCTGCAGTTGGTTTATCATCCTGGATGCTTCCAAACAGAGGATCTGACAGTATCTTCACTTGCCTCTCTATGAAGCTAACAAGGTCAGGAAATGTAGCTCGATGCCCACGCTCTTCCTGTAGCTGACATGCTCTATTCCTCCACTTGTCTCTGAGTTTGTAGGGTAGTTTCTGAAGTATTTGTTTCATGTTTGAAACAACATTCATTTCATCCATATAGGGGAGATGTTCCATTGCATTGCAACAACCTCTTAGGAACAAAGAGAAGGTTTACAGTGCTTTCACATCTTCGGCTTTGATCATTGTACAGGTAAATGCTTTGTTCATACATGCAGTGGCGATCTTGTGTTCATTACCAAAGTGTTCTTTAAGCAGCTGTTTTGCCCTTTGATAACCTTGAGCTGGAGGCAGATGTTGGCAGCTGCACACTAGGTCCTGTGGTTGTCCTCTAGTGTATTGCTCTAGGTAATGCAGGCAGTCACTTTCATCATCAGTTTTCCGCTCTCCTCTTTCAAATGCACAGATGAAAGCTTCAAACTGCAATGGGTCACCATCATAAACAGGAATGTCTCTTGGAGGTAAAGTAGAAGTGAGATGTTGTTGAGCTAGCATAGCAGTGATGTCATTTTGCCTCTGGATTAGGTTATAGATGTCACCTTGATTACCATTGTTGATTACAGGTGGTGTGATGTCAACATGTCCCTGCACATGTGTCTGTATACTTTGTCTGGGAATAGAGGTTTGGGCTTGATGAGGCGGGAATTCAGTTGCATGTAGATTAAATCTTGCTGTAGGGTTTCTGAAGTAAGAGCTCATCCCATCTGATGCTCTAGAGGTGTGTCTTGATCCCATGCTGAGCAAGTTTAGCCTGGCATTGGCTTCTGCCAGTTTAGTTTGTAAATCCAATTGTTCCTTCTTTCGTTTCACCTGTTGTTCTTGTTGTTTCAACTGTTGTTTCAACTGTTGTTTCAATTGTTCCCCTTGTTGTTTCAACTGCTCCCTTTGTACATCAAGCTCATGTTGAATATCCAGTGCTGCAGCCCTCTCGATTAAAGCCGCCCTGTCTGCCTGGGCTTTAATTCGAGCAGAAGAGGTAGATGATGCATGGGATGAACCAGTTTTGTGTTTTGACTGAGGGTGTGATGCCTTTGAAATGCTGTCATCAGGTCTGATGTCATCTGAGCTGACACTTTGTTCTATGGCACTTCCCACAATAGAGTGTGTGATTGCCTGTCCACTCTCAGATAACCACACATTTGCATCTTGTATAAATCCATCAAATATATGCATCTTTTCATATGCATATATGGCAGTTGAAGGTCAGTTAATGATTTGTGAGTTGCCTTTAATTCATCACACAACCTCATAAAGTTAACTAATTGTAACTGTATTTCCTTTGCATTGTCTTTATAGTTCATAAGCTCTTTCAGTCTTCCCATTAAATTCTTTACTTGTTTGTAGCTGAAGTTTCTTGCTTTTCGACAGTTTACAATGAACAATTCCAATCCTTTGGCAGTGTGAGTGATAATCCTTTTTTCTCTCACAGATTGTAGTCCAACAGCGCCATCTTGTGACGTGACGTCAGATTTCACAGACATGATTAATGTTCACTGTTCCTTTAAATTTCGATTCCACTTAATGTAATGGCAATTTCCTGTTCCTATGTCCTATACTTTTTTGCCATTACTTCACAGAAGGGCGGAAGAGTGATCCAGACGCAGACACAAACAGATGACTTTCCGGTCCTTTGTTGCAGTTTATAATGAGGTTTATTCAGGGTTACATACCAGGGTTTAATTGTACAGTTTAGTTGTTGTGTGGTGAGCATCTGCCGGGCTGGTGGAATCGGTATGCTCTCTCCTTCTGTGTCCCCTCTCTCCTGTCACCTATGACCTCTTTATATACACCCGGTGCAGCTAAACCCCAACACCAAGTGTTCAAAAATAATATTGCACTATACGTATAACTTAAATAAACTGACACACCAACAACACCCATAAAATGGCTCCACAATTCATATGTATAATATCAGTTAAAACAAGTGCTTCAACATAGTTAACAGGCTTAATATTTATCTTTTGATAACCCAAAGCTTGTTTATTATTTAAAATAAGTCCTTAATCTAAAGTATTATTTAATATTTAAATAAAGGTTAATTCGTTTTTCTGTTTTGCACATCCTCATATTAATATCTGTGTACATCCTGCACTAAACTGTTTTATTGTAGAGATCACTTATAGTATCTTCTTGATTGTTTATATTCTATATTTCTATCACAGACCTTCTACTTTCCCCCTATGAAAGTATGTACTCTTAATATTTTTTTCATCAAATATAACACATAAAAACAATAATTCAATAACGTGCTTTAACCACTAGGCGGTGCACACAAGGTACACACAGCCATAATAACTTTGTATTATTAGTGTAGGACACTTATGTATGTACAACATCTGAAGATGTGTAGTTTTATTCATGCTTTCACATAATTTTACAGCATATTGCTATATTATTTCAG